TGTGACCCAAAATGGATTAAGCGGGTAAAGATAATGGATGGATGGATGTAATTTCTTTGAATTGCACTTTTGGGTTCTGTTTATTGCATTTATGAGTCAATGCAACAAAATAAACAAATTTAAAAAGTAACAGATCATTATAATACTTGGTTTATTTAACTAATGAATTTAATTGCTGTATGCCCGCCACTGGGCATTTTTTTAATAGCCCTGCCTTAATTGTTTATTAAACCTTGTTCTTTTAATTCTTAATTTAATTTAATAGTTTTATTCTAAGGGCAGCACGGTGGCGCAACTGGTAGAGCTGCTGCCTCTCAGCGAGTAGGTCCTTGGTTCAAACCCCGGTCCAGGGGCCTTTCTGGGTGGAGTTTGCATGTTCTCTCCGTGCATGCGTGGGTTTTCTCCAGGTGCTCCGGTTTCCTCCCACAGACCAAAAACATGCACGTTAGGCTGATTAGTAACGCTGAATTGTCCCTAGGTGTGAGTGAGAGAGTGAATGGTTGTTTGTCTCGTTTGTCTCTGGCCCTGTGATGGACTTGCGACTCGTCCAGGGTGTACCCTGCCTCTCGCACAGTGATTGCTGGACTTGGGCACCAGCAACCCCTGTGACCCAAAATGGATTAAGCGGGTAAAGATAATGGATGGATGGATAGTTTTATTCTACCTTGTTTTATGGCACCTTGATTTATTGTTTTATAACACTATTTTTATTTTAACTGCATTTTTACTGTAGTTTATTGTTATTATTTATTGTTATTGTCCTCGTGGCTCAATGAGACTAGCTGTATAAATAAAGGTTGAATGAAAAAATAAATGGTCTCTTCCTACATGTGTAAAAAAAAACGTATGAATGTTAACAACATAGATGTTTATATCTATGGTTAACAAGACTTACATTTCCTGTTGTTTCACCGCTGTTCCTCTTCCGGTCTTGTTACTGTTTGGTATAAAAATATTGAAAATCTTTGGATAATTATAGAAATATAAACTCAAACAAGAAATTAATTAATCAGTCAGGTCTCTCTTGTAAATGAGTCCTCGAGACTCAATGGGATTAGCCTGTCTAAATAAAGGTTAAATGAAAGAAGAAGAAAAAAAGCTAACTGCTAGTAGCTAAAAAGCTAAGAAATGTAGACTGTTTTCCAGCAACAGCCTACAAAAACGAAACATATTTAAGAAAGTCTGAACATTTAGCATCAACAATTAAAGATAAAAAAAAGCGTGTAATATACAAATATAAAGGTTTAAATAAAATAAGCCCATATCGTTTCGTGTCCTCCTTTAGAGGGCAGCACAGCACTTTTTTTGTTGTTTTCGTAGAAGAAGAAATCGGTGCGTCGCTAAAATTGTTCCCTCTTTAGATCATATTAAGCACTATCAGGTAAACCTTTTAAAGAGTTTTACCCGCAGTGAGCGCTTATTCGTTGTGTGTTCCGTGTACATGACGCTACAGAAGAAAGTGTTTACGACTTATGTTTAAGTATAGAGTTAAACGTAGTATCTGTCTTTTATTTTTTAGTCATCTAAGCTAAGCAGGTTAGCTTATCTTCGCTGTAGCTTGCAAAAACATTTATTTGCAAAGTGTCTAATACTGGGATATTGTAGATTGTTTGCCAAATCAGATACGTTTTCCTGTGTGAAACAGGCTGTCGTGCAGAGGATGGATACACTGGCACAAATGCTCACAGACCCTCTCGATCCCAAAGAGGACCAAGGAGGACAAATTACAGAGGAATGCATGCTTGGAAACAGCAGAGTGAGTCTTCCAGAGGATCTGCTTGAGGATGTAAGTTGTCTAACTCTCTGAAGAAAAATAGCTGTTTGTTTATCCTTTTTTGTTTGTTTGTCATGTGGAGGTTTTTAGTAATACATGCAAATTACATTTCCTTAAATGAATTGTTAAAATTGACTAGTTTTCATTTGATACCATTTCTATCTTAACAAATGATTCTCGGCCTGCCATTGTGTATCCGTTCCTCTTTCCTGTTCCTCTCAAACCCAGCCGTTCGAAGCAGATTGCTGCTTGTCCTGAGCCTGGTTCTGCTAAAGGTTTCTTCCTCATGGAGTTTTTTTTTTCCCACTGTCGCCTTCTTGCTTGCTGAAGATGAGAGTTCTGCTCCTCAAATAAATAGTATTAACTTACTTTTTATATATATGAATGTTTCTGTACATAGCCCTGAGATGACTTCTGTTGTGACTTGGCGCTATATATATATAAATTGACATTAATGATGGATGGAATTGTTTGTCTTCAACCTGTGTCACCATGCAAGTAATCTCAATATTTTTGTTTCCAACAGCCTGAAATCTTTTTCTCCGTGATGAGTGAAAGCACCTGGAATGAAGTGCTGACAGATTCTCAGAGACAACACCTTCGCCAGTTCCTGCCACAGTTTCCTGAGAACAGCGTCGAGGAGCAGGACAGCACCCTCAGTGACCTGTTCAACAACAGAAACTTTAACTTTGGAAATCCTCTCCACCTCGCACAGAAGCTCTTCAGAGGTACATCCTAATCTGTATTCATACCCAAGCTGCTGTTGATTGAGTGTTCTGAATGAACACTGGTGTTTTTTATTTATTTTGTGTGTGTGTGATTTTTTTTTTGGCCAAGCTACATTTGAATTCCTACAATCACATTCGCAAGTGCAAAAAGACGGATCAGCTCAAAAAACAAACACCAGAGCCATCTACTTAAGTTTTTACTCCCATGTATTTCATTTTAGTAAGGAAGGTGCTACCAAATTATCCTTATCACACTTAACTTTTAATTAGACAAACATGTATGAAAATATTTTCAGCTGCTTTCATATGTCTTGTTTCCCTCAAATATAGCAAATGTGTTAATATTTTCATTCAACCTTTTATTTATACTGGTTAATCCCATTGAGCCTCGGGGACTCGATATGCATTGTTATTATTGCATATAATTGTTATAACACTTGCAGTTGTAAGGCAACAGTGACAATATGTTTTCATTATATACCATCTAATTAGACTTGAGTATTTAAATACACTGCCTGGCCCAAAAAAAGGTTACACACATAGTAATATTTGGTTGGACTACCTTTAGCTTTGATTATTGCACATATTCGCTGTGCCATCATTTCTATTAGCTTCTGCAGTATCACTTTTATTTCTGTCCAGAGTTGCATTAATTTTTCTCCAAGATCTTGAGAGACTCGAACCACTGTGCAAAGTCTTCACCAGCACATCCCAAAGATTCAATTCACTTTTATTGTCACTGCACTGAAGAACAACACAACAAAATGTTGTGTAACATTCCTGCAGCAGCACCACCAATATGGTCCATTTGATGCTGCTATTCAGAGAGTTACGAACCGCTGCGTCTATGTGTGCTGCCATCATAGATTCTCGATGGGTTCATGTCTGGACTCTATCGTGGCCAATCCATGCATGAAAATGAAATCTCATGCTCCCTGACCCACTCATTCACAATTTGAGCCCGATGAATCCAGGCATTGTCATCTTGGAACTTGCCTGTGCCATCAGGGAAGAACAAATCTGTTCATGGAATAACCTGGTCAGAGTATATTCAGGTAGTCGGCTGACTTCATTCTTTGAGCACATCATGTTGCTGAACCTAGACCAGACCAACTGCAGCAACTCCAGATAATAGACTGCCCCCACAGTCTTGTAGAGTAGGCACTAGGCATGATGGGTGCCACTCCCCGCTGCCCTTCCAGTCTTTAATAATTTGTTAAACAGTTCTTAACATGATTTTAGTAGTTTCAGCAATCTGTTTTTTTCTGCTTGATGCTGGCGAGAAGTTGACCCTTCTGAAACAGTTGAACATCTTTTCTACAACCACAGGATGAGCCTTTCCACATTTAATAAATGAGAAGCTACTCACCGCATCAGTCAGGGTTAAATAACTTGTTGCTGCTGAAACAGACTCACCCATGCAGTAATTATCCAATGGGAGGCCAGGCAGTGTGTTGTGATTGTGTCATATGGCTCTAGTTCATCGTTTGTCTGAATGAGTTAATGAAAACCATGAACCAGTATGAATGCTACAGTGGTGTTGTTTTTAATCATTCATTAAATGCTGCTGATATCCTGGCTATAAATATGCCCCAAAGCTAAAACGTAACTGTGTAATTCTGAATGGACTTTTCAAGCCCTGCCTGATTCTGATTTTAATCATCGCAGATGGTTTCTTCAATCCTGAAGTGGTCAAATACAGACAATTGTGTGCCAAATCCCAGAGAAAGCGCCACTTGTACTCCCTTCAGCAGTACTACCACAAACTCCTCAAGCAGATTCTCGTCTCTAGAAAGGTGGGGGTTCTTCTTTGTTTTTTTGCTGTTGTTGTTTTTTAAGTTTGTGTTGATTTTCTTGCAGCGTATTGCTTGGACTTCCTAATTTGTCCTTATTGTAGGAGCTGCTGGACTTTGCAGTTCACAACGATTTGGATTTTCCACCAAAAAGACGTTTGCCAAACAAAACTCAAGCTGAAATGCGGGAGCCGAGAGTGAGAAGAAGACTGAGTCATATACTGAAGGAGGTCAAAACGGAGTGTGGAGACAGTAACGCTTCATCTGATGATGACGGTCAGTCTTTGGTTTCATCCAAATCTTTGCTAACAGTGGATTCATTTATTAATTTCTTTGAAGCATTTCTCTTATTTCTTTATCTACAAGTTGAACCAGTAGCTGAATGGACACATTTTTTATGCAAACTTTTTACAAATGATTATATTAACATTCTTGTGTTGCTATGTAACTGAGTGAATTTGATCTTCTTATTGTTTTTTATTGTTTGTTTTAAATCCTTGAACAGTCTTATGCCATCTTTCTGAGATTCTTACCCCTGATATCCCTTCTTGCAATCTCAGATCCTTAAATCTGTTGTTACTTTCCACTCCCAAAACTCAGCTGGTGACAGGAGGAGGGAGGGCTTTTATGGTCAGGGCTCCTATTTTATGGAATGCGCTTCCTCTAAATATTAGACAGGCCTCTTCATTGTCGTGTTTTAAATCATTAGTTAAAACTTATTTGTATAATAAGGCTTGTATTTTTATTTTCATTTTGTCTTATATTGTTATACATTTTAATTTTTTTGGTATACTTTCTGTGTTTCTGGTGTCATTATGATTAGGCCTGTTGCAATAAACAATAAATCAATTAATCGCATGCTGAATGAAAATTATCAGCCTCATTTTCATTTACCGGCTTTATTGTTTTTTCGTGTCTCTCTCGTTCTACTGAAGACACTGGATGACAAAAAGCTTAACTCCGGTGCTCTTCACTGACCCTCCCTTTCGCTTTTCTCTTTAAAATCTGCTTTAACGATCCAAAATCACGTTTTTGGATCGTTAAAAGCAGCTAAGCTGAGAAGCTAAGCTAACAGGCCGACCTCGGGGAAAAAAACTCCTCTTGTCGAAGCTCCAAAATTTACAGTTGAAACCCGTGCCTTCGTGTAAAAAGTTTTTCTCTGCAAAAAGAAGTTGAGAACTTTTTAACTGATTTTTTTTTTTTTAATTAAAAGCTTTGTGTGAAAAATGCTATGCTAAAGAGCTCAAATCACTGAGCGTCCGCCATGTTACCATGTCACGTCAAGGGACCTCCCTCCCATTTTTCTTAAAGACATGCTGCTCAACTAGCCATCCTCAGGTTCAAACAGTCTTATACTGCCATCAGGTGGTCAAAAAAGGTACTACACTCCAACCAAATCAACATTTCTTCTAAAATTTGACAATTGTTAAATTTCAAACAATATTATTGTTTATCGCAATAATTTCTGAGACAATTAATCACCCAGCAAAATTTGTTATTGTGATAGGCCTATTTATGGGGTTCTTTTAATTGATTGATGTGAACCACTTTGTAACATTTGTTTAAAAAAGTGCTATACAAATAAAATATTATTCTTATTCTTATCTTTTAATTCACTCAACTGTTTGTATGTTAGATCTGTCATCGTGGAATCCAGTGCCTCAGTCTCCATCCTCACCAACTCCCACCGTCTCCCTCAAAGTTCTTCCCAGCCTGTCCACTCCAGACATGAGGATCACTGGTTGGTGATTTATGCTACATGTAGATGGTGATGCCGTAAATACGGAAGATCTAATACTTTTTTATTATTTAACAGAAAAATTGGAACTTGGCGAGCTGGATTTAAAAGTCCTGCTGCAAAACCATTGTGAGAAGAGGAAACGGCAGCCAGTAAGTTGTGGTCAGGGGAGAAAAACAGTCTAATGTTAGTCTTTATGAATATACTGTAAAACTAATTGTTTTTTTAGGACCATCCAGACTTGGTAACTTCTGATATTCAGCTCGGAGACGTACTTACAAGGGCAAATCTTGGTCGGAAAGGGGCTTTGCGTGAGTAAATAGTTTTAAATTACACAAGTTTTTCTCACTCACTCACTCACTCACTCACTCACTCACTCACTCACTCACTCACTCACTCAAAGGGGATATTTTTGCTTTTCTTCCTCCAGCTGTTTTTGACCTTTCTCTGCCTAAGAAGAAAATCAAAGACGAGAGGAGGAGAAAAAAGCTGAAGACGATAAAAGTGGAATGTGATGATCCCTGTGAGACTGTCACGCCATCAGACGCCTCCTCAGCTCCTGCAGTTAACATTATCAACTCCCTGCCGGACGCACCATCTACTCCACTCACCAACATCAAGGAGGAGTGAGTTCTCTTCTATAGAATCAAACATATTTACATTAAAACAAGGTAAAACAGGCAAATATCATCATTATTATTATTATTATTATTATTACAGGGTTGTGGAGGAATGTCAGAGTAGCCCGAGTCCAGTTGAGGAAATAACTTCCAGTTTCTTCAGTTTGTTGGAAAACATCTTAAGAGCAGAGGGTCCTGCGAGTACCTCAGCAGTATGGACTCATGTCAGAGTGTCACATAAATAATGTAACGTCTGTCACGTTGCACACACGCTAACACCACTGTTTTCTTGGCTCAGTTGGAGGAGAAGGTTCAACTGTGGCAGTCCTCCGCAGCCAGTTCTCTAAACGTGTGGTTCTCATCTGCCTCATGTTGGTCGGATTTAGTTCTCCAAGCTCTGCAGTTTCTCGCTGGGGAGACTAAAGGTAGGCAGGAACACTGAAACTGTAAGAGTTCCTCCTCGCGGTATCATAAAAATGTCTATTTTCCCCTGTTTGGTGTTTGTCTATCAGACGGCATGATGGCGCTCCCCAGCGACTTCTCTCCCTTCGTGGAGTTTGTGGATGGATTTCAGCAGTGGAGGTGGATCGGTAAGACGGTTGAACACCAGACTGATGGTGGCGCTCGACACTCAAGGGTTGAATTTATTCAGATTAACATCCGTGGCTTGCTTTAGGTCCAACTCAGGATACAGAGAAGGACCTCAGTGCGCTTTGTCAACTCTGGCTGGACTCCAAAGATTTTATTGTCAAGGTAGCATAAATGTTTCACTCCTGTTGGAGTTTCAGCACTAACTTCACGTTATTGTGACAGTCATGAAAATGACTATTTTTCTCTCACAGACAGAGAATGAAGACATGCTGGAGATTACCTCACCACCACTAAAACTGTGAGTTTTCAGTGTCGCAAGTGTCAGATTAGGACTTTTCTGAAGGACCGTATTTTTTGGACTATAAGGCGTACCGGATTATAAGGCGCAATATCAATGAACGGGTCTGTTTTTATACATAAGGCGCACTGGATTATAAATTACATTAAGCAAAACAGTCTGATAAGTCAAACTTTTAAATCGGTTCGAGGTCAGTAAGCACAACCAGAGTTAATAAATAAGGCGCACCAGATTATAAGGCTCACTGTCGATTTTTGAGAAAATTAAAGGATTATAAGTGCGCCTTATAGTCTGGAAAATACGGTACTGAGATTTTTGCATCTGTGTTCTCCCCCCCCCCCCCCCCCACAAACAGTTCAACGGATTATGTGGTGCGGCCCAGCACCGGAGATGAGAGACAGGTGTTTCAAGTCCAGGTTTGGTTGAGTTGCTTCAACATTTAATGCGTGACTCTCTTTTATTGTTTGTGGTATGAACATAATCTGTCTTGTGTTTATAAAAGGAGCAGCAGCGGTACAACCAGCCTCACAAAGCGTTCACCTTCAGGATGCATGGCTTTGAGTCTGTGGTGGGGCCCGTTAAAGGGGTGTTTGATAAGGAAATGTCTCTGAACAAAGCCCGGGAGCACACGCTGCTTCGCTCCGACCGCCCACCTTACGTCACCATTCTCTCTTTAGGTGAGAATTTTACTCCTGCATTTTCCTTTGAGTGCCACTCTTAAAAGATTCTGACTTTAGTTGTTTTCTAAATTTTATTTTAAAGTACGGGACGCAGCAGCCAGATTACCCAATGGAGAGGGAACGAGGGCGGAAATCTGTGAACTGTTGAAAGACTCTCAGTTTCTTGCTCCAGATGTCACAAGTGCACAGGTGTGGCGCCTTTCCCTTTTTTATTTAAATCAGCTTTAAAGATTTGTGTTTCCTGTGATGTTCCGTGCTTGCTGCCGTACACTTTGCACCACCGTATAAGTCGCATCGGTCCAAATATGTCTAATAAAAGTGGAAAAAAGCATAAATAAGTTGCTTCGCTGTACAAGTCGCATCTATTATGCATCACCACTGATGCGTCGCATTTGTTATGCATCACCGCTGACCACTTGGAAACATGGCCCGGTGTTGTAACAAAAATCGATTGGCTGCCAAATTGTGGCTGTGGGATCGTCCACTGGAGGACTTTAACAAGAATTTAACAAGATAAACCACCTTAAAACAATTATTTGTTTGCTCAACATTACAGTATAGGTGTGTCTCAGTTGAACTTTTCCTTAATAAATACACAAAAGACGTTCGCCCTTGAGAAGAGCAAGTGTTGAAATGTGAAATGCAGCTGATTTGACATTTGGTCCAGGAGTTCCAGAGCAAGACAAAGGTGGCTTTGTATGGCATGCCAAGTGTCTCATTAATAGCCACTTCCACCTATTAAGGAGACACTTGGCTTGCCATATTAGTCTAGGGCCCTCTAGCTAGGCCCTCTAGATAATGGTAGTGTTCAATATTTTCCTTGTCAGAATGAATGAAATTGTCAGATCTCAGCCAAAAATATGGTTATAAATATGGGGAAAATATGTATATTAGTCACTTCAGTGTATAAGTCGCAGGACTTGCAAATTTATGCAAAAAGGTGCAACTTATACGGTGAAAAATACGGTGTTTGTCTTCTTGGCAGAGGCTGACGCTGCCTGTAAGCAGTTGACGTATGTCAGCATTTCTCCTTAAGGTGAACACGGTTGTGAGCGGGGCTCTGGATAGACTTCACTACGAAAAGGACCCTTGTGTTAAGTACGACATTGGCCGCAAATTGTGGATTTACCTGCACCGCAGTCGCAGTCAGGAAGAGTTTGGTAAGCAAGAATCTTCATTAAAAATGTATGAAAACATATTTACAATGAGGAAAATAAGTATTTGAACACCCTGCAACTTTGCAAGTTCTCCCACTTAGAAATCATGGAGGAGTCTGAAATTTTCATCGTAGGTGCATGTCCACTGTGAGAGACATAATCTAAAAAACAAAAAAAAACAGAAATCACAATGTATGATTTTTTTTTTATTTATTTGGGTGTTACTGCTGCAAATACGTATTTGAACACCTGCCAATCAGCAACAATTCTGGCCCTCAAAGACCTGTTAGGCCACCTCTAAAAAGTCCACCTCCACTTATTATTCTAAATTAGAAGCACCTGTTTGAGATTTTTAGCTGCATAAAGACACCTGTCCACCCCACACAATCAGACTCCAACTACTAACATGGCTAAGACCAAAGAGCTGTCCAAAGACACCAGAGACAAATTGTAGACCTCCACAAGGCTGGAAAGGGCTACGGTGCAATTGTCAAGCAGCTTGGTGAAAAAACATCAACTGTTGGAGCAATTATTAGAAAATGGAAGAAGCTAAACATGACTGTGAATCTCCCTCGGACTGGGCTCCATGCAAGCTCTCACCTCGTGGCGTATCAATGATCCTAAAAAAGGTGAGGAATCAGCCCAGAACTACACAGGAGGAGCTGGTCAATGACCTAAAGAGCTGGCACCACTGTTTCCAAGGTTACTGTGGGTAATACACTAAGGGTGCATTCACACCAACCCTGTTTAGTCCGCTTTAATCGAACTCTAGCTCGTTTTCCTAGAAAGTCCGGTTCGTTTAGGGAGGTGTGAACGCGCCATCGAACTCTGTCACAGAACAAAAAGGCGAACTCTGGCCCGGGCTAAAACCTAGGTCTCAGTCCAGTAGAAGCGAACTCCAGCGCAGTTCGAGTACAGTGTGAATGTAAACAGACCGAACCCCGCTCCGCAGGGTAAAGCCGTCAGCTGCCTTGTGTGGAAAAACAATATTCTCCATGGTCTTCTGTCTCATCTTCTGCTCATGCTAAGTCCATTTTTGAAAAATCACAAAATATAACTCCTAAAACTGCTAAAACTTGATGCCACTTCGTTTTTATTTTTATTTACAGAAGAAGAAGAAGTGTCTTCAGAGGTTTTTGTGTCGTTTCTTTCAGTAGTTCTTGGTGCAGCGCCCCCACATTTGAGCGGGGGAACAGGTTGGTTCAACAGGTTGACTCGACTGCACAGTGCAGTGTGAATGCAAACGCACCAGCTCAAATGTAAACAAAAGGTCATGAATATTAGTCCCAAACCGAGTCTACCGGACTATCTGGTGTGAAAACGACCTAAGACGTCATAGTTTAAAATCATGCATGGCACGGAAGGTTCCCCTGCTTAAATCAGCACATGTCCAGGCCCGTCTTAAGTTTGCCCACGACCATTTGGATGATCCAGAGAGGGAGAAAGTTATGTGGTCAGATGAGACCAAAATAGAACTTTTTGGTCTTGATTCCACTCGCCGTGTTTGGAGGATGAAAAATTATGAGTACCATCCCAAAAACACCATCTGTACTGTGAAGCATGGGGGTGGAAGCATCATGCTTTGGGGGTGTTTTTCTAAACATGGGACAGGACGACTGCACTGTATTAAGGAGAGGATGACCGGGGCCATGTATTGTGAGATTTTGGGGAACAACCTCCTTCCCTCAGTTAGAACATTGAAGATGGGTCGTGGCTGGGTCTTCCAACATGAAAATGACCCGAAGCACACAGCCAGGATAACCAAGGAGTGGCTCCGTAAGAAGCATACCAAGGTTTTGGAGTGGCCTAGCCAGTCTCCAGACCGAAACCCTATAGAAAATCTTTGGAGGGAGCTCAAACTCTGTGTTCTATTTCGTATAAGCTTCGCCCTTTAAGGCTGTCACTTGGTGGGTTTATCCCGTTATGCGTAGAATTGCACTGAAAATATTTAGTCCACGCCCACCTGCTGTGTGGGCCCTACCCGGTCCGTATAAATTACGTTAAGAGCGGGAAATCGGCTCCCATTTTTTCTTCAGCGAGCTATAGCACTGTCAGAAGAACGAAGAAGGAAAGTTGTGTAGATGACCAACCTTTGTTAAGGATGCTTGGCCCGGCAGTCGACCTCCGGTCGTCCGGTGAGTTCTCTTCCCCGAGGAGAAGCTGACGAGCAGTCTTATTTCGAGGTAAGCGCCGAGGAAGATTTCTCAGTGACAGGTCACTACACGCTGGACAACGCCATCTTGTAATTTTCCTCTTATCGCCGACCCTTTGAGCAAATCGGATGGTTCCTCCGGGACAGGCGGCGCTCAGCTGCAGCCCCCCGCTGCTCATTCCCTCCTGGAGAGCTTGGTGTCGGTGGAGGGGGGCTGAGTGAATGCTCACCCCATCCCACCTCGTTTCGCATCGGCGATCACACCGCTCCCAGCTGATGGCGCCCTCAGGGGTTGCCCGGCGTAACCCAGGAGGCGGCTGACATGAAGGGACCCCTTTTCTACGTCCCACGCCTTTTCCCGCCAGTTCGGATGATCCGGCGGGAAGGTCGTATACTGGGTTCCATTCTGGCTCACCGTCTTGATCCATATGGCCTCGTGTTCCATCAGGACGTCCTACGGGCGAGGCCACAGACGGTTCTTTCCTGGTAGATTGGGGGAGCCGGTCTCCACAGTCTGCACCCATCACCAGAGTGGAGGGGTTCACCGAGCGGGGCTATCCCTCGGTACCCCCCCCTTGAGCCGAGCCTCACGGAAGCTTTCGGAGCGAAGCTGTCCAGGTTGGAGCAGCGTCCCGTCCCTCCTGGGAAACACGACCAGACGGTGACCACCCTCTCCAATCGAGCCCATCAATGTGCTTTTCAGGCAGCCGCAGCTAACAACAACGTGGCGCTGCTAGCATATAGCATGTCCAAGAGGCTGGAGGCCGCAGACCTGCCTGAGGAGACCAAGAGCTCCCTCTGTAAGGCAGACGACGCCATACTCAACATGTGTGCCTCTTCTACGGTTTGCCTGTCCAGGATTGCAGCGTGGATGACGATGATTCAACGATCCACCTGGCTCCATCACTCCCTCTCGCTGCTGGAGAAACAGCACAAAGACCTGATGGAGGGCCCCATCACGGCGGACGCGCTGTTCGGGAGCAACTTCAAAGCCATGCTGGCGAACTCGAAGCAGTCGGAGGAGGTGTCAGAGGCTGTGCGCCACCTCATCAAGCCGCGCGGCTCATCCCGCCCCCCCGGCCCGCTGGAGAGACCGTCGTGAGCAGAGGCAGAAACTACGACTCTTCATCCCGGCAACCAGCAGTTCAGCGTTTCCCCAGAGATTGCCTGCAGACGGCGCTCTGGGCAAACAAATCGCAGAGCTCACGGGGGAGAAGATTTAAAAAATGACGGTCTGCGGAGGGTGTGTGTAAAAGTGACATGAAAGTTGAAATAAATCATCATTCAATGATCAAAGTGTCCGTTTCTAGCCAGTCTGTAAGCTCGGATGAACTCACAGCGGCTGCGCACACATCCTCCACACATAACGAGCCAGTGTCCTTAAATAAAGGTTTTTTAAACTCACCGTCGCTCCAAGACATGACGAGACGCTCACACGACACGATAGCAAGCGAAATAACTCGTTGTCAACCCGAGCTGCACGATCCTCGCCCAAGCTGTGTCAAACGCGCACTTGTGCGATACAAACAGCCATACAAACAGCGCTGCGTTGATGATGGTGCACACACAGCTCCTCGGCGCTCATTGGCTCACATCGGCATAAATGTGGGACCGCAGACCGGGTCCAGTGAAGGTCCTCGTTCTCAGCAAGAGCAACACACGCCTCATCGAAGCAAACGCGTGCGGTCGCAACGCGGGCAGCCTTCACCCACCGCGTCTCAGCGCTCGGCCACTCACGGCAGCATAAGCATGAGACAGCTGAACGAACCCGGTGACGAGTCTCGCCTCCAGCGCGCGTCCCTCCAGCGAGAGCGGCGCGCCTCCCTCCAGAGAAAACGTGTGCTTCCGCGGGGCTCGCAGCCTTCACTCCAACAGCATGGCGTAGATGAAGTCACGCTCTCCGCCTCTCAACGTTCGCACAGCGACGTCGAACGCGCAGCCCCACGACGTCATCAGTTGTCACACGCTTCGCCTCAGCACACACCGGCCCACCTAGACATGAAGGTTGGTCCGCGGTCCAAACGCAGCGCACGGGCGCGTTCAGAGCCTTTTTTCGAGGAAGCCTCGCCTTGGGTCACGTGGAAAACATCCCCGCGACACATGACGACGGTCGGGGCGGCGGACTGGATGACATCCGTACAAAACATGACGCATCACTTAAACACACGTCCACTCCACGAACGTTATGCGGAGTGGCTAAAAACATGCTCGCCGGACAGATGGATGGACAGGGTGTTATGCAAAGGTTACACGTTGCAGTTTGTAACCCGACCCCCTGCGTTCGGAGGAGTTTTAGAGACAGTCCTGTCATCACCAGACCAAATCTCATCCTTAAATGCAGAAGTCCAAGAGCTTCTGATAAAAGAAGTAATCTGCAGGGTTCCCAACGGAGAGGAAAACACAGAGTTTTACACACGTTACTCCCTGGTTCCCAAACGGACCGTAAGGATGAGACTGTTTTTGAATCTGTCAGCTTTCAACAAGGCGATCATGGACAGACCGTTTCACATGTTGACAACCAGACAGCTGTTGGACAACATCCTGAGAAACGACTGGTTTGTTTTCCGTCGACCTAAAAGATGCTTATTGTCACATACCGATCGTCCCAAAACACAGAAAATTCCTGCGTTTCTCCTTTCAGAGGATGAAGTATCAGTACAACAGGCTGCCGTTCGGGTATTCCCTTGCGCCTCGTACATTCTCAAAGTGTGTGGAGACAGCCCTGCATCCGTTACACAGAGCAGGGATGAGAGTTTTGTTTTACCTGGACGACCTGCTGCTGCTGTCACGCTCCAGACAGGAAGCAGTGATGCAGGCTCAGGTGTTGACATCACACCTGTTATATCTGGGC